GCTTTTAAACTATGACCAGGTATAATAGGAATCAATATTCTCATATTCCAAACACTAAACCACCTACTACTTTTGTAGAAAATATATCCTTGGAATGAATTTATTAATTACCTCATATGTTTTGTACAAGCCGAGAAGAAATGTGTAATCAAAGACAAAAAAATACCTATTGATATTGTCATCTGGAACAACTCTTTTATTAGAAAAGTGATAAAAAAGAACGGAAAAAACCAACTCTTCCTTTGTTTAGTTATCTCTAAAAAAAGTGACTGAGTATCAGGTATTGAAAGCGCTGCACTCATTTCGTGAAACCAAATTTTCATATAATGTTCTACCAAAAGAAATTTTTGATAAAATTTTATTCAAAATGAATAATGATTAAATATGTCTATTACGAATATTTATTTAGGAACTTTAATTATTATTGAAGTAAATGAATACACAAACATTTGAGTAAGCATATGAAAACACAAATAAACACATCAATAAAATATGCAAATTAATAAAATAAATTGGTTTACAAATTTAACATAATCCAGCAAAATGTAATTAGTTTTTTTTACCATTAAAGTTTTATTACGTTCAACTCCAACAAAGAAGCTGCCTGAGTTTGGGATTTTAAATAAAAATCATCCCGCATCAACCAAATGTTTATCAAATAGATGAGTGAAGTAGGTTTCTCTGTTTTATTTACGAGGTCGACCACAAACCTCCAAATAGGATTTCATTGCCTGAAGCCAGAGACTCGTTATGCCGCTACCCACAATCATTGATTTCAAACCGAACGATTCATTGTACAGAAAAACTATCCATATATTTTCAGTACTATTATTTAATACTTTGCTGTAAATGTTCTTAAGAACTTTGATTATAAATTATTGTATTTAATGTGTCAGTAGGCCTATCTAGACAAAAGTGATTGTTAAGTATAATACAACTATTATGATACATTACAAAATCATTCTTATAACTATCCTTACGTTCAACGTAATTATATGATGTTGTTTTATAAATTATTAATAGTGTATTTTAATATTTAATATCTTAAATATATTTTAATACGCAATACATGGATGATAATTGGGTTTTTTTATAATAGGAATTATTTTATGTATTCAAATAATTTGATGGGTGATTAAAACAAATCCATGTAACACGTATTGTCAGATAAATAATAATCCAACAACGTTAAACAAATACATTATTTTTAAGTTTTATATACATTTATTCATAAATACGTTAATTATTTTAAGGGCAGTTACACATACTGCTAAATGTTTGTACGGAATCATTCAAAATGAGAAACTGGGGTAGAATTTGGAGGTATATTAATAATAATAGAAAAACAATTTGTAGATTTTACCTATTAAGTTGATCTATATATAACTACACTACTGTGCATACCATTGTAACACGTGCAAAGTAAGGTTATTTTTAAAAGCACAATTATTCAAACGAAATATACAATTTAAATAATGGCTAGAATGTTAGAAATGTAATTCCGAAGTGAAATCTGTGAGTAATGGTCTTGTTTAAAGTTAATTAACCAGCTTCATTACATAAACGAACGGCTAAAGCAATCTGTGTTTTGCTTGGAACACAATTATTTATGTTAACTTACACTTGACTGTTAGCAATGCTTCATTTTCTATTTGCTTATCTTAACAAACATAACATTTAAAGTAAAGTTTATTTTTGTACCCAAGAGCATCAGATTCCGTAAACATTTTTACCTTCACGTGTAGTTGGAGACCATTAGAAAAATTATTAATTATTAGTTTGAATTGCTTTATAAAGTGTGTGTTAGGGAGCAAGGTTGAATTTACATTTTAAAATATTTACTTGTATGTTTATTACATAGCTAAAACAGATTAAAAAAACTTAAAATTAAAACTTAAAAAACTTGGCCATAAAAAGGACATGTAGCATAATTGGATCCTCACCCGCAGACGACGACCTTTCGTCAATATTTTATTTATAAAATGATTGTAAAAATGTGTACACTATCATTAAATTATATATACTTAAAAAGTGTTTAAGTTGATAAAAAATGAAAAATAACCTTGTGACATGCAATGCAGATTACTGTAGCAACTAACAAATAAAAAGCAAAAATAACAAGAGACTCCAGAAGTGTAAGCGCATTAAATCAATTAATATTTTTAATAGGATCCACCCGTCTTCCAATATCGGGCAACTTTTAAAAATAAATATGTAAGTTTTTAGAGAAATCTGTGTTAAAATGATTTTAACATTATAATTAATCATTTTTCCATGCACGTAAGAAAGTTTTTGTGATTTACACAATTCTAAATAGGAACGCAAAAAGCTTATTCTTTCAAAACTGTCTTTTTAATAATATTTATATATATTGTTCATTAGAAATGATTCATTTTTATCAACATACGGTTTTAACCACTCAAGTTATCAGATCTAGGTACAAGTAAGTGTTTTATTATGGCTATATAAAAAGTCTTTGGCACCCTAGAATTTTATTTTACCATAGTAAAAGTAGGTTACTACGAAGGTCATCTTTTGCAACAAAAAAAATCTACATAATTATTTGTTCTTTGTTAAATAAATCCTTTAGGTTTAAGTTAAACAAACTGCCATCAATTCAATCAAACACTAATAAAACCTTATATAAGATAAACTAAATGTGTTAAATATATATCTACCTATAAACCCAACGACAGCTTATCATACTCACCACCATAAGCAGTTGTCCAGTCGAGCTCAAGGATTTGATTACATCAAAGGTAGCGGAACAAAGGCCGGCGTTGTCACTGTAGCCCCTAGGTTTCTGTTTAATTAACCAAACTCGACTCAACTGCAGTCTGTTGTTAAATAAGTAACAAGCGTGTCAAGACTAATTAGAGTGAAAAATAAAATTTGAAGTTTAACTTTAGTCAGTTGCCCATTTTGATCGGGTTAGCCATTGTTCTGAATATTGTGCGTGTACTGGGAAAATGTCACTATTTAAAAATGTAAAGACTCTATGCGTAAGATTGCTTAGTTATAGATGCAATGCATATTTTATTGTTATATATACACAGACGGTGCACTGTTGACGACACTCGTAAACAAACAGCCACTAATCAATTATGTTCACAAAAGTCTACTTAAAATGTCGCAGTAGTTAAATGAATTGACAATTTAACTTAAACTTTTTAAAGCGATTCGGCTTTCATTGTGGGAATAAAAAAAACAATCCTTTTGGAACCAAAACAGTTGTGTAAAGTCTTCTGTAGCGTAAATGTTCTATACAATATTGTGGGCTGTGTTTGATAAGAAAACACTGATTCTGACAAAAACCAATATCGAGGAGGCAATAAGGAAAGCCATGTGGGCTGTCGGTTGGATCTCGGTTGACATATAGATTATTTTATACCTAATATCTAGACATTAAAATTTATAATTTATTTTCAGGGATGAAAAAATAAGTGCTGTGACAATTAACTGTTTTTATTTATCTGTATTTGCTAGACGTTTCTACAATAGTACTTATAATGTACAAACTTGGAATGTTTATTAATAATTATTTGATAGTTATTTACCAATTATTGACGATTAAATAAAATATAATATTTTTTTAAGAGAAATTTATGGCGTGTACACACTCTAGGTGCACACAAAAAGTAAGAGTTTAATACAACGTATTACCTAGGGTAAATGTCTTGATACTGATAGGCCTATGCATAAACGTCGTGTTAATGCAAAAGTTTCTTACTCTGCTTGATTTAGTATATTAACTATATTAACTATTAACTAATTAACTATACTATTCAAAATGTACGTGTACTAATAAACATTATACATTTTGACCTGCAACAAATTATTAATTTAAATTTGTATAATCTTATTATAGTATTTTAACATAATTTTGCCGTACAAGAATGGTTTTCTCACATTACAAACATTAAACATAAACAACAACTGATACAAATAAAAACATAAAAGAATAACAAAATAAGTAATAACTTAAATAGTGTAGTGCTAGCTGTGTGGATTCATTATATTAACTGTAAGATACAAAAATTCTCCATAATGACGAGAATTTTAATGTGATTGAGATTTCAAAATAGTAGTGGAGAAGCAAATATTTAAGGAACGTTTTGTGTGAAATATCGTCCGATCGAGCGTTTTATTGCATTCCTCGATCTGTGGTCATCGCTTCAGGCTGCATTCCTATCTGATGGCATTCAATCTTACCTTTAAACCCACCTTGTGGCATTCGTTACAAACAGTATCGCGGAGTGGTCTGGTAACTTTTCAGGGATAATATTTACCTTCTTTGATCCTAAAATCAATTTTGAAGTAAAAAAATACTGAGTTATATGATTTATTATTTATCTTTTATTATTGTTGGCTTATTATTTATAAACTAGCATTCATTGTTTATAAAATAAAAATAAATATTTATAAAATATTATCAATAACATTAATACTTTTACCCGTCGTAAACTGAGAATTTTATTTGTCAATAGTGCCATCGTTTTACAAATCACAAGTAGTATACAGAAAGATGGTTTACAGTACAATAAATAAATAGTGTAATAACCATAAACTATGATAAATTCCCACTATGCTATCAATATTAATTTTTTTCTAGCTTTGGTAACTGCCTCATACAAGACAATTTTGGCCTACTGTTACAAAAATAATTTTACACATTTTTAAAACCACTTCTGAGCTCCCTCCAACCATTAAGCACATTTTATACGTCCGAACACTTTACTCAATTCCCGTCCATTATCTAGTTATATACGCTATTACATGCTGTGAAAAACTAACCGGGCGCTGGGAACCAGCTTAAATAGTAGTGAAATAGTAGTGGATGCAGTAAAGAACACGACACTGTCCTAATCTGAAACTTTCTTGACTCTGGTGGGAGCACAATGGAGACTCACATTTACGGACAGCCTTCGTATTTACAAGGCTTTCCTTAACATATTACACAATTTAGAGTTATACAAATATCTTGTATTTTTATGTTTCAGATTGATGCTGTGAACACCAAGACCTCAGATGGTACAGCCAACACTTCATTAACAGGAAATACAACATTATATCTTTTAGTTTTACTAGCATCGTTTTGGTCAGAGTCAGTGCGTGTATCATAAATGGAAACAAAAATCGGAAGTTTGCGCATTTAGTTCCTACCGTCAGCTGAAACCTAGTTGTATTCGTGTGTTGTACTGCACGTTTTAAAGAGTAGTAACAGTCAAGCCTCTAGGCAGCGCTATCGTGTGTTGTTAGAATCCTGGTACCGGAACGTTAGGAAACCGACGCACAGCGCTAGTGTTCGTTCTGCTAGTGTCGAAGTGTTGATTGGCCTACAATCACGTGGTGCCAGCAGTGCGCAGTCGCAGTGTCGGAGTGGGGCGGGCATGTAGCGACGCTAGCGCTACAGTGGCAATGATGTGATGGAGTGGGGGGGCGGGAGGGGCATGGCCGCTGCTGACCATGTGGACATGTCTCCTCTATGTGCTTACGTCTATCGTCCTCGTCAACAGCGGACCAAGATACAGCTCTCGCATTGTAGACACACAGTCCGGAGCTATCAGAGGAGTAAGTAGTATATAAAAACAAATTCTTAAGTTGATTTTTTTTCAAAGTTCTGTGGATGTTTAGGTTTCAGTGTTCATGCCTTGATTGTAATATAAAGTACTCTATATGAGTCAAAACAAACCTATGGCTACGCAAGTGTTGATGAGAAATAGTGTCTGGTTCAATCTGTATTTGTTGGATGGATTCATCAATGAATGGATACTACAGTATAGTAGTAGTTAGCTTATACTTCTATGTATGGGTTATAAACCTTAAATAGTCTTCGGATACTGAAGAAGGCTATAAAGATAAGCTGTAGCATTTTTTTAACAACCTAAAGAATATGCAGATCACATGGAACGTTGAAGTCAAAATAAAATTTTCTCATTTAGTACTTATTTTGGTACTTTGACATTCGGTGTAACTTAAAAGATAAAATTTAATAAAAAATAAAGTTAATAATAAATTTTACTTTCAATTTGATTCGCCTATAGGTAATTTAAGTTTGCACTCACTGTCATTGACTCAATTGGATCTAACAATGTCTAAATATTTCGAAACTACCCTAAAAATAACTAGGCCTATATGCTTGAGTGTGTGAGGTTATAATTCAATTAATAGTAAAAGTTAAGTGAGCTGAAATGTCTAAGATAAATATATAATTGAATGTGTGTTTTTTAACCCTCGTCAAAAACTAATAGTAATTTTTAGTTCAGGGAGATAGTTCATGTAGGTAGTTCAAAATAAATAAACTTTTGAATAGGATTTTACTGGTTATATACCAATAATACATATAAAAATTCGATAAATAAAATACCTCGTTCAACTCATCACTAACTGATATATTGACACCTATACTGTTAACATTTACAGGATGGTAAATACTTCTTCTTGCAAAATATTTTATGATGACAATCAATTTCGACAATCTACTCGATCATCTGGCCCAACTGGAACCGGGTCCGATTAAATAAAAACCTTATGAATAAAATTAAAACGAGTTATTTCATTAAAAATAAATATTCTGTGATCAAAGATATAGTGTCTATATAAATACAGCCCTATTATAATTTCGAGTTCTACCAAATACTTACAATTCTTCCGTCTCTTGGTTTATAAAAGACATCATTTTATACAACAAAATAATATAAATTAAAATTCTTCCTGGTGCAAAATAACATAAATCTTGTATTATTATACAATGTCCATTTTGCTCCCACTTTGCATCATAGAGTATTATCGCGGAATGGTCTATAGTAACGGCGTGCAAAGTGCCGCTGGTGGTATAAAATATCGGCAACACCATTAAGGTGGAAAGGTTGACGATGTTAGACGATTTACGTCCCAAGGATATCTTAACGATGGATTGTCCCTGCTTTTGAGTACTTAGGATAACTCCTGGTCGTAAAACGGAAATTACAGAACAATTACTGAACGTATATACTTTGGTTTGTCTTACCAATAAGAATTGTCATCCCTTGGTATTTAAAACGGTTTTGCAAGATGTTTATTTATTGCTTAAATAATTAAACAAAAAATAAATATATAATTTATCCTTAAATTTACACTAGAAGAGATTACGCCAAATTATGTAATCACAATTTAATCTTTAAAAACAAAAATTACCACACTAGATACTTCTACATGTATGAAGGTAAGGCACTAACGAATCCCTTCACAATTTCATCATTTCATCCAATAATTTTTTGTTTGTTTGTACCTTTTATCTACTTTGTAAGAGAAAGTATTTAAAACTGCACTTAGTAGATCCATTGATACCTATTTTAGTTTGTACAGATTTGACTGTTTTTTAAACTTCATCTTAATTGAGGTGAATATATTATTGTTATACATTACTAGCTACAGAATCATTCATTGTAGAGTATATGTTCAATATATATATTTGAGTTTCATTACAAATTTATCTGTGTAGAAGAATTTTACAAAATACAATGACTGAGCCATGGTTTTAGACTGATTAATTTTAGATCTATTTTTAGACAGCTAAAGAGTAATTATGCTGCTGAGATGCACAATGCAATCTTAGCTCCTTCCAATCAGTTCATGACATAATGAAGCTACGCTGAGTCATTGTTAAAGACAAATCGGTCGTTCAATTGACGGATCATTAGAGTTAAATTGGAAAACAATAGTTAACGTTTTTAAGTGGTTAAGTTTTAAGTTTAACGGTTTTAAGTTTTAAGAGACCTTTAAATGCATTGCAATAAGAACCGACATTATTAAGTTAAGTTTAAACAGTTATAGTTTAGGTACTTTTTCTAAGCTCTTATACGTTAATAGTGCATGATGATAATAATTATTACCAAAAGATTATTTGATCTTTGATTTGCTAAATAAGCCAACATTTTACTTAGAATTATTGAATAGTGATTTTTAATAAAAATAATGGTCCATATTATTCCTAATATTTATATATCTTTACAAATATGTTCAAGTTATCTTCGAATTTATATTAACACTTAGAATAACGCTTATATTTATGATTAAAACTTAGATTCAAGCATTAAGGATTCCATTGCTAAAATAATGAAATACACATATGAAGTTAAAAATATGAATGAAGTATTGGAATCGTAAATCAGTTTGAATTAAATTTGGCATTCACTCACTATTGAAGAAATTAGTTTTAAAACAAATAATAATATATGGAAAGTTAATATTTTCTCTTAAATTCAAACAAAAACATGGCAATTTTATTAAATTTATTTTATTAATAAGTATAATATCGAAATGTTTATCAATAACTGCAATAACTGTAGGCTATATCAACAAGCTTATTGCTATTATTGTTAGTCTCTACTTCGTCAATATTCATAGTTATTATTGTTCCTGCATGTTAACTAGTCTTTACTCTTTATTGCCACTTGCTGTGACATTTATCATATATTTATTTTCTCAACTTTGTTTCGTTAATTCTAAGTGTAGGTAGTAGATAGCTGTAATGGTCACACGCATGTATTATTACGTCATCTTTTTTTGGCCATCTGTAAAAAATTGCAATGTATGTACAATGTAAAATGGTGTTTACCGTATATGGATAAATAAATAAATAAACAAGCTTCAAGTAAATACCGAGACTAAGGATAATACTCACTGGTATACTGAAAACTCACTGGCAATACTTGAAATTAAAGTACCTACTGATTTCAGTTTTTCCCTTATTTTATTCAATATATAAAATTTATATTATTTGAAAAAGAATTTCACCTTTGAATTACGCTCTAAGGGTTTTGACTTTCCCAAAAGTAGATTCTACTTAGTTTACAGTTTAGACTTGAATACTTGTGTATGAGTAGATAGTAATGTACCAATCCTAGACCAAAAAAGGAAGACTTTAATAATTTAATGAAATTTGTTGTTTTTCAATACTAATATGTTAAATTTTTGCCTCTTTTAGGCCAATTTCTAACATTTTCATATTTTTCTAGAAAAAGTATATAATTTTGATGAAATTTTCATGAATATGTCTATATTTTCCATAAAATTGACTACAAAACAAAATGTTTTTAAAAACAAGTAAAATTTTAAAATTTAATGAGTAGTTTTTATACAAATTTAACTAAAACAGTTTCTTTATCTTTGAATGTTTTAATTTCAGTAATAATTAAGTTTAAATCTTTTTTATTTAATTCTTTAATTGTTTTTTCATCAAATATATTAATAAATCTATGAGGCAAATGAACTTTACATTTTTCTAATTCAACAATAACTGTTGGTCCATATTTATCTTTAACTTTTTCAAATTTTTCTATTTTATATTTTGTATTCAATTCTAAACTTTTTATTGGTTTATATTCTTTGAATTTACATTCTCCAATATTATTAATCTCTTCTAGTAGATCCATTTATTACAAAAATAATTATAGAAATTTTAAACAGTTAATAATTGAAATATATGAAAAGAATTTTAAATAATAAATTCCATAAATTTAATAATTTATTTAATAATTAAACCTTAAATAAACCTTTACAAACTTGTTTTTTTAATCAATTAATCTACTTCAAGATTTTTATGATATAAAAAACTTTAATAATTTTAATAAATTTCATGTTTTTTAATAGTTTATTTAATAATTAAACCTTTATAAACTCATTTTTAATCATTTATTAACGCGTCGCAAAAATCGCGACGCGTCAAATATTTAATAAATTCCATAAATTTAATAATTTATTTGATAATTAAACCTTAAATAAACCTTTACAAACTTGTTTTTTTAATCAATTAATCTACTTCAAGATTTTTATGATATAAAAAACTTTAATAATTTTGATAAATTTCATATTTTTTAATAGTTTATTTAATAATTAAACCTTTATAAACTCATTTTTAATCATTTATTAACGCGTCGCGATTTTTGCGACGCGTCAAATATTTAATAAATTCCATAAATTTAATAATTTATTTGATAATTAAACCTTAAATAAACCTTTACAAACTTGTTTTTTCAATCAATTAATCTACTCTAAGATTTTTATGGTATAAAAAAACTTTAATAATTCTAATAAATTTCATGTTTTTTAATAGTTTATTTAATAATTAAACCTTTATAAACTCATTTTTTATCATTTATTAACGCGTCGCAAATAAACTATTAAAAAATATGAAATTTATCAAAATTATTAAAGTTTTTTATATCATAAAAATCATGATGTAGTTTAACTGATTAAAAAAACAAGTTTATAAAGGTTTATTTAAGGTTTAATTATCAAAAATATCTTTTTATATATTTCAATTGTGAAATCATAAAAATGTTAACAAAATGATAATCTTAAGATAAAAAGATAAGTATTGATTTAAATTGAAAATAAATATCACCAATGAAAAGCTTGTTAAAAATTAATGCTATTTCATATATTATACATTTCTGTACGATTAAAGATAAAGTAAAAATCAACAAAAATAAATTGTGTTGTAAATATAATCTTATTGAAGGAATATTAGTCTATAGCCTAATTTGTTTGGTCGATCTTTTTATGAAAATAAGTGATTGAATAAAATA